GGAGTCCTGGCTCCCAGCCCCCTGCTCTAGCCACTAGACCCCACTCCCCTCCCAGTGCCAGGGAGAGAACCCAGGAGTCCTGGCTCCCAGCCCCCTGCTCTAGCCACTAGACCCCACTCCCCTCCCAGTGCCAGGGAGAGAACCCAGGAGTCCAGACTGCATGTGACCTACTGGCTGTTAACACTCGAGCTGCTCACGGAGTTTCCAGAAAACTGGGTTTTACTGGGAAATGCTGACCTGTGAAACGGTTCGGACGAAATCCGCCCGGTTTCCTAGCAGACAGCGAGGGGGGCTGAGCTCACGGGCTCCCCAGCTCCAGGCAGGACTCCCCCGAGACTGCCCGATCTCAGCAACCTACTGACCCCGCTGCCCAACTAGCCGAGCAGCGCAGGAAGCCACTGGCCCAAGAGCCAGTGAAGCAGTTGGTCAGCTCCCTGAGAAAAAAGAACAGGAGACTAACGAATTTATTTGAGCATAAGCTTTCGTTGGCTAAACCCACTTCATCGGATGCATAGACTGGAACATACAGTAAGGAGATCTATATACACACAGAACATGGAAAGGTGGGAGTTGCCCGACCCACTCTCATTAATTAAGGTGAGCTATTAGCAGCAGGAGAAAAAAAACTTCCGTAGTGATAATCAAGATGGCCGATTCCAGACAGTTGACAAGAGGTGTGAGGATACTTAACATGGGGAAATGGATTCAATGTGTGTAATGACTCAGCCACTCCCAGTCTCTATTCAAGCCTAAGTTAATTGGATCTAGTTTGCATATTAATTCAAGCTCAGCAGTTTCTCCTTGGAGTCTGTTTTTGAAGCTTTTCTGGTGCAAAATTGCCCCCTTTAAGTCTGTCACTGAGTGGCCAGGGAGGTTGAAGTGTTTTCCCACTGCTTTTTGAATGTTACAATTCCTGGTGTCAGATTTGTGTCCGTTTATTCTTTTGCGCAGAGACTATCCGGTTTGGCCAATGTCCATGGCAGAGAGCCAGCAATGTTTCTGTGATCCACACTGCCCATCCCAGGTGTCTAAGGCAAGAAGTGACTATCTAGTCGTCCCCCTGGCCAGAGCTAGTCCTAGCGCAGAGCTTTCAGCAAACCAGCTCATCTCGATTGAAAATGGGCAGCGAAAAAAACAAAACAAACCAAAACCCTATTTCCAAAACAAACGTTTTTGGGAATTTCCCTTTCACCAAAAAAAACATTTTTTTTAATTAAAATTTGGAACAAAACCAAAATATCAAAACTTCCCACCAACCAGAAATTCCAAGTTTCAGCCAGTTCTAGTTAGCATGGGGGCCAGGGGGGTGGGGGACTGGGTATCAGGACTCCTGCGTTCCATTCTGGGCTCTTCCACCAAGCTCCTGTGCCTCAGTTTCCCCATCTGTAAAAGTGCTTTGAGCTGCTCTGACCCCAGGGGGTGGCCGGTTGCTACCCTGGGATGTTTTATAAACTCGAGTGGTTCCAACATGGCAGTGAGATGAGTCTCTAGCCGGGCGGCCCTCACGTTCTCCTGTGTACCCAGCTATTAATGGTTAGGACTTTGCATAGATTCATTTGCCCCCTGTGTGTCCAGTCAGGGTTTAAGGCTGGTTCAACCTGCCCCTCAAAGTCGGCCATGTCCGCGTGGGCATGAACAGGGCATCAGCAGGGAGCTGCGCCAGATGCGGCCTCGCTGAAACCTTCTCGCGGAGCAACTCAACCTTTCGCTTTAGTGCAGCCCCTGCCCGGTGTAGCTGGATACTCCACATTCTTATTAGAGACGCCCTGCACTTCACTAGCTGCAGGGAGGGGCTGGGCGCCAGGACTCCTGGGTTCTATCCCTGGCTGTGGGAGGGGAGTGGGTGAGTTTGAACAACAAGGACTGGGTGCCAGGACGCCTGGGTTCTTCTACCCCTGTCATTGATTCCTTGTGTGACCAGAGGGGAAGCTGCAGCACCCAAGACAAGGGGGCCCCAATCTGGACTGGAGTCTCCAGGGACTACTGGCAGCCACATACCAAGGGAGCCGGAGGCGGGGGGGGGTTGAGTGCCCAGTACTAGTGCTGGTGTTTGCACGAGGGGGGCTGAGTGCCCAGTACTAGTGCTGGTGTTTGCACGAGGGGGCGTGAGTGCCCAGTACTAGTGCTGGTGTTTGCACGGGCGGGGAGGTTGAGTGCCCAGTACTAGTGCTGGTGTTTGCACGAGGGGGGCTGAGTGCCCAGTACTAGTGCTGGTGTTTGCACGGGGTGGGGAGGTTGAGTGCCCAGTACTAGTGCTGGTGTTTGCACAAGTACATAAGTCAGCGAGGCGGCCCTGTGCGTCAACATTGTGGGATAAGCCCCTGGCTACATGAAACCTGAGGCTTCACTTCTGCTAGGACCTGCCCGGGGCAAATTATCCTTCCTGCTCCCCCCTTAGCGACAACAACAGGGAGCCAGAAATTCCCCCGCCCGCCCCAGGGATTCCCAGCCTGTTCCCGCGCCAGCCCCCAAACACCCCCCTACCGTGAGAAGGGATTTGGCCATGTCCTTGGTATCGAGCTGCAGCAGGTTCCCCAGCAGGGGCAGCGGGCGGGGGCCTGGGGGCAAACACCCCCTCTTCCGCTGGCCCTTCCCGCGGAGGTAGACGACCAGGCAGGAGAGGCCGAGGAGCAGCAGAAGCAGCGTGGCCGCGGTGATCTCCATGTCGCTCGCTCGGGCGCGGGGGGAACAAGGTGCTCCTGGCTGCACTGGCACCGAATGACTTTTCGGGTGCCCTGACGACTGACTCTTCAGCAGGGAAAGGGGCGGGATTCGGAGCCGACTGACTCGCCTGCCAGGCGGGCGGGGCCCAGGGCTCCGTGCCAGCTGCTGTCAAGCTGAGCGGGCGTCCCTTGCCCAGGTGCGCTCTGGCAAGGAGGCTGAACACGATGGAACGGGGATTTCGCAGCCCACTCTGAACCCAGGCTTCGAGCAGGGGTGGCTTGGCATGGCGTGGTACCCGCTTGTAAGGTCTTTGGCACGTACGCCCCCAGCTCTAAGAACCAGGGGTAGAACCCAGGAGTCCCTGCTCCCCGGGCTAGCCA